ATCTTTCGAAAATAACTATCACTTAAGTCCATTTTCGCTTTTCCGTTACAGCCTCCGTTAAAAACATGGGAAAAGACATGTTTGTCCCTAATTTTTTAATCATATTTATTCCAAAATATTAAATAATGGAAATGACTTCTGTACCCCTACACACACTGTTTATCTCTCCTCTATCTCTATATGGCTACAAGTCGCAAACCCAAATTTCCCCTTCTTCCCCTTCACTCACCGGTGGACGAAGTACCGGCTGTCCAAGCCACCGGCAACCAAAATTCGCTTCTTCTTTGATGTTGATTTTGCTGGTACTATTTGATTACCAGAAGAAGAGACGCTCGCTTCACCTGAAGCTGTGGAATCATTCATGGCGGATGAGTTATTGAAGTTTGGTTATGTTGGGAAAACTAAAGGGTAATATTTTGAGATTGTTGTGGGAGAGGTCAAGAACAGAGAGGCTTCGAAAACCAAAGAGATGAGCCAAGTTAGTGAACCTGTTTGTAGAAAGATTGAGGACTTGAATCGATGAAAATGAAGCTATATCTAAAGTGGGTTCGAACCCAATGGTCCTTCCGAATTGATTCTTGGAAAGATTGACTTTGGTGAGAGATGGGCTGGACCAGAACCAACCTGGAACAGAGCCTTTGAGAGAATTGTTGGAGAGGTTGATGGTTTGAAGGTGAGACATGTTTCTGAGGAACCACCATGAGAGAATACCAGTAAGGTTTCTGGAGGAGAGGGCCGGAGTTGAATCTATGGTCTTCGGGATCGCTGCAATTTTCGGCGGAGAAGTGGTTGGTGCAGAGAAGAGGTGGTGGAAGGAATTGGGCATAATTTCCTGAGTGGTCTACCGCACAATTTCGGATTTTCGAAAAATGATTTCGTTTCGTGGTTGAAGAAAACAGGTGATTCCAAAATCTCTCCGGTGAAATTGTTGAATGACAAATCAAGAGTGGAGTTCGCCGGAATTTTGTCTGCGAAATAATGTTTGGACAGAAAATGAAATTAAGAATATGAATGTAGTTGGTGGTATTAAGTATCGAAATATATTGTTTTACAGGTATGCGAGTACCGTTTTAGTAATACATATTTTTAGTATGAAATAAAGTATATGGAATGTTTGGTTTTCCAGTTTCTACCATTACTTCTGACAAAAAATTAGAATAATTTTTATTTTCTTCTGAGAGTAACGAAGTGTGTTTTTTGACAAAGAACCAGTATTCGGTACTCTGAGCAATAAAGAAACTGGGAATTTCCTGCAACAACTTCCATTTTTTGTTTCCTTCTATATAAACACATTCAATTTCTTAAAACGTACGATAACCCTTAAAATTTCATTAATTTCCTTAAAAATATATATATGAATGGATGATTTTTCTTATTTTAATTTTTAAATTTTTTCTTATTTTTCTCTTTCTCTTTTTAAATTTCATTAATTTCCTTACAAAAATAAAATTTTCTTATTTAAAATTTCATTAATTTCCTTAAAAAAATATATGAATGGTTCCTTTTTCTTATTTTATTTTATATTTTAGTTTTTAAAATTTTTCTTATTTTTCTCTTTCTCTTTTTAAATTCAATTAATTTTCTTACTTAAAATTTCATTAATTTCCTTAAAAAAATATAGAACCGAACACTTGTATGGCGTATAATAGCCCTCAATACCAAACTGTATGATGTTGATCACCTACTTTATTTATTCTTGTATATGGAAAAGGAAGGGTAAACATATCATTTGAATAGTCAACCTAAAGTCAAATGAGGGTAAACATGTAATTTTAATCATTAAAAAAATAATTTATTGGGTCAAACCAAAGTCAAAGGGTAAGAATGTCTTTTTACATGTTAAAAGTGGTCTGACACACCTGTCAACCAACTTTTGGGGTGTGAGTGAAAAACGGAACAAACGTTTGTAATGTGAGTGATAGTTATTTTCGAAAGATATTTTAGACTGATATTTGGCCAAACTAGTGGGGGTGTCAGTGAAATTATCCCATATATATATTATAATAGGGAGGCGATATCCGCACTCTACTTTTCAATATTTGCATTACAATCTTAAATGAAATGGCAATTCTAATATTAACTTTACAAGTAAATAATAATAATTTTTTTAAATGACACAACTGTCATTCCATATTTTCTCTTCCTATTTCTCATCTTTAATATTTTAAGTATTTTTTTATAACACAAATAAAATAAAATAAATTTTGAACATTTTTTTTTAAGGGACCAAAAAAAAAAATTGTTATGTTGAATAAATTGCATCTTTTGACCAGATCAAAAAAATAAAAAGTAACCATTTAAAAAATTTATCACTTTTTGACATTAAAAAAAAAAAAACCCAAAAATATGTATTTATTGAAGAAATTATCTATGTTGTCAAGATTTCAAATAATAATAATAATAAAAAGTACAAAAGGAAGATGATTACAAAAAAATTATCGCCATGGAATAAATTATCTCTTTTGATAATGACCAAAAAAAGGTCATTTTTATTGAAGAAATTATTTCTTTTGACAGGGCCCATAAAAAATTCTCAAAAAATAAATTTATCTCTTTTGACAAAATTGAAAAAAAAGTTAATTTTGTTGAATAAATATCTCTTTCGATTGTTAAAAAAAAAAAAAAAAAAAAACAAAGTCAATATGGAATAAATTATCCATTTTGACTGTCAAAAATAAAATTATTAGTATGGAATAAATTATTATTATTTTTTTTAGAGGACCTCCAGAAAAAACAAAAAGAAAGGAAAAAAATAAAAAAATAAAAAAAAAACCACTAAAGAAAAAATTTAAAGTTGTATAAAGGGTAGTTATGATATTATAAATTAAGAAATTGTGCTTTAATGATTTCAAGGACATACTTGTCATTTCTTTTAAAAGAAAATGATAAATAGAGTGCAATTGAAGAAAAGTAAAATGCGAATACCGTCTCCCTAATAATATCTTATAAAAATAAAAAATATATATAATTAATGAATACATTAATTACAATTCTAATCACTAAGAAAAAGTGAATGGAGGGTCGTTAGTGGTATAAAACCTAAAAAAAAATAATTTAAAAAACGAGGATTGAACAAAATTTCTTAATATAATAATTTTAATTAATCAATACGTTTTAAATATAAGAAAATAAGATCCAAAAGTAGAATCACTCCACATAACCAATCAGTCAAAGAATTATACGTACCTCTTCCACCTAAATACCACCACTCATCCTAAATGAATGGATACAGGTAAGAATTTAATATTTTCGATATAGCAAATACTGGAGAAAGTTGCCAAAAAGAAGACGTGGGTTCCAATGCTCTCATTAGCTGACTGCATGCCGACGCTCCTTTCTTTCTCACTCTGTAATCTTGTCTACTAGGCATCATATTAATAGGGTCTAATTTTTGAATGGAAAATGATTCTCAAGACCATTGATTGTTTGAAGTAGAATCTAAAATAGAATTTTATTTTAGGTCATCAATAATCTTTAATTATTTTATTATGAGAAGTGGACTTAAATATCATTACTTTAAAAAAAAATATTCTCTTATAGAGTTGGAGTTTGGATCGAGTAAACTTTACTCATGGCTTGCGTTGTGTTGCCAATCATGTGTGCAAGAAGTTGAAGAAGTTAATTCCTAACCTTAACGGAGAGTAGCTATAAGATGTGTCACGCATATCATATTATTAGTATGTTCACTTAATAAAAATTGAATAATACTTTTAAGAGGATCTTTTCATGAAAAAAGTTATAATTTCTTTCTATTTAATAATTATAATTAAATAAAATTTTAAATTTTTTTAAAAAAATTAAATTAAAAAATTATTTAATATATTTTCCATTTAATAATTATCCAAAACTCAATTAGAGTTTTAGCATTTCAAAAGTACTAAACCACCATTTGGCCGCATTTGGTGTTGTTAACTTATAATAAGCATTTTAATTTTCTTACACAATGTGTTTGATAGCATATTATTTTAAAGCACTTTTTCTAAATATTATTTTTTTCATAAATAAATTCATTCTATATATGTGTTTTATCTCGACTTGCAAAAAATTGCAATTTTTAATTTTACTAAAAGCCATATTAAACCAAAGTATCTATAACTAAAGAGAGTTATTTATTTCATCTTTTTGTTACTAAACACGTCTAGAAGATAATTTTAGCCTGAGCAACGCCATACCGTCACTTAACACGGTCTAGGGACCACCAACCTACAAATTTTCAAATTTAATTACTTGCTTGGAGAACCAATGCACGCAAAATTTTCAATTTTAAAAATAAATAATTTTGAAAAAAAGTATGACAGTATATTATTATTAAATAATAAATACGATAAATCGATCAGTAAATAATAAAGGCGATAAAATTTATTATTAATTATTAAATAATAAAGGCGGTAAATCGACCATTAAATAATAAAGATGGTACTTATCATTAAATATTAAATAATAAAGGCGGTAAATCGGCCATTAAATAATAAAGGAGGTAAAACAAATCATTAAATAGTAAAGGCGTTAAAATTGATCATTAATTATTAAATAATAAAGGCAGTAAACCGACTATTAAATAATAAAGACTTTAAAATCAGCCATATGGTAAGCACATATATCACTTAAGTGGACAAATTAATTAATGAAAAATAATAAATGACATATATCACTTGGACAAATTAATTAATAAAAAATAATAAATAAATAAGATTTTCTTACCCTTTGGAGTGATTAATGAACAATAATAAATAAATAAAATTTTCTTATTCTTTGAAGTGAGAAATACAACTCTTGTCTGTAAAACAAGCAAACCCAATAACCTATCGGGTCAAGTGCAGAAAACATCCCTCAAGTATGCATATAGTGCATATCACACCCCTCAAGTTTCAATTTGGTGCAATTAAGTCCCTGTTGCACATTTAAAACCAAACATGACCAAAGTACCCTTAGTCAATAATTTTATAAAATATATAAAAATATAAAATTTTGTAAAAAGACCAAAAAGGACCATAAACATAACATTGTCGTTTTGCTACAATTCTGTCTGGGTTATAGGAGAAAATCGGCATAGAAGAGTGAGGCGTCGAGATTGTTGGTGAGCTTGGTGTTAGGATTTTTTATTTTTTTTTTTATCAGAAGAGAGATGTCCCAGGTGGCGGTGACCTCGGAGGCTGTGGCGTTGATGGGGGAGACGGTGGCTGAGGCGACTATGAACTCATGGCTTTCATCTCTGCCGTGCCGGAGAACAAGATAGCCGGTAATCAAAAACCTAATTTGATTTGATCAAAGCTTTGTTTTCTGTTTGCTTATTCAATTGATTTGTTTCTTATTCTGTTTGGTTTTTGTTTATTTTTTATTTTGTGTTTAAGCTCTGTTTCAATCACTGTTGTTCAAAGCATGTGGCCGTACAGTGAATTTGGTGAACAGCGTCGTTGGTCTCCTCTCTGCCGGAAAATGGCAGCTGTACCGAGCCGCTGTGGATACGGTGCTCGAAGGCGTCGAATTGCGGCCGATCTATGTTGGAATTCCGTATCCGGATGGCGATGAAGGCTCTTATGCGTTTCTCGTTAACTACATAAAGTTTCAAAATCGGCACTGTTGGGCTCCTCGCTGCCGAAAAATGGCAGCTGTGCCGAGCCGCCGTTGAGACGGTGCTCGCAGGCGGCGAATTGTGGTCGATCTACGCTGGAATTCTGTATCCAGATGGTGATGAAGGCTCCTATGCGTTTCTCGCTAACTACACGAAGTTCAAAATCGGCGCCGTTGGTCTCCTCTCTGTCAGAAAATGGCAACTGTGTCAAGCCACCATGGAGACAGTGCTCGCAGGCGATGAATTGCGGACGATCGACGCTGGAATTCCGTATCCGGACGGCGATGAAGGCTCCTATGTGTTTCTGGCTAACTCGATGAAGTTTCAAAATCGACTCTTTGAACACTCAACCGACTTCAATTTCTCTCCGGCGTCATGATGATCGTGAACTTAGAGAATTGAGATCGTCATCTTTAGGTAAATGATCTGTTGGTCAAGCGATTGATAAAATGTGAAATTGACGGCAAAACACCCGATCAACACCGTCGCCGACAACGTCATTATAAACAACGGATTGTGCCAGCGGTAAGCTATTCGATCGGATCATTCAAAACTCTGAGCATTCTGCAGCCATGGCTGACTCGTCCCAGTTGGAATCGGGGGTGAAGCGGATGCGAAGTGATGACTTGAGATGAGAGATAGCCATGGCCGCAAAATTGGTCCGGCGATCTCTGCACGTTCCGGCACCTCCTTCACCTTCATTATCATCGTCACCAACAGCCACCAGAAACAATACAAATTTTTTTTTTATAAATATTAATATATAATTGAAGGCTAAATTGTAAAATAACACAGTTTAATGGGTATTTTCGGAAAAGTAAAAGGGCAAAATTGGTATTACATCAATAATTTATGTAAGATTTATGACAAAGGGGTAATTTTGCACAATTTCAAAAGATTCGGGGTATTTATTGCAAACTTTTTCAAACAAGGGGTAAAAGTGTTATAAAAAGTATACTTAAGGGGTGTTTTTTGCACTTACCCCTAACCTATCAAAATTAAAAATAAATATATAGAGTTGAAATAAAAAGAGGGAAAAAAGAATTTACTTTTCAAATCTCATATGGTTAAATCTCATAGTTATAATAGAAATAAAATATCAAAGTATAGAAATTAAAAATTGAAAGAACAATGAGCGAGAGAAAGGAAGTGTGAATGTGAATGGCTGATATAGTATTTCTTCGAGGTATTTCTTCATTGTTCATTACATTCCTATGTATATATAGAATAGATTGCAATTGTTGCTTTTGATTTCGGGGCCAACAACTTGCTCCAATCAGGTGGCTCTACATCAATCCATTAATCCAATGTTTTTATATGCATCATCATACCAATGGCAAAAGTGCACATCAGCATACCAACCGCATCAATACACCTATTTTATGTTTACACTATCACGGGTTACTTGATGGCCGATGGGTGGTGGACCCCATATTGTACTACAAGTCTTCTAAATTTTCCTGATATTGAGTTTTGAAAAGTTAGAGATGATCTTTCATGAGGTACATGATAATGTTGCTTAAATATCCTATACCATAAAACCTTTTTAAAGTCTCGAGCATAATTAACTTTTCCCAAAAAAAAAAAAAAAAAAAAAAAAATGATTTGATCATAAAACCATAAGCCTACCATAACCCCCACCTTTTTAGCAATGAAACTTTAATCTATTTCTTTTGATAGCAAACCATAAGCCTACTATAATCTAGGATGCAACTTGGGTTGAAAAACCCAAACTCAACCCGAGCCCAGCTCAATTTTTTACGAACTTGGGTTATTATTTTTATAATTAGGGTTAGACTTGGGTTGAAAAATCTCAAACCGAATTAAATTAGGGTTGGGCTTGGGTTGGAATGCTAGCAACCCAAGCGAACTCGAACCCGAATTATAATATTATTTTCATATATATTTTTTACTTTAAAATATATTATATATAATATTTAAACTACGATTATCTTTTTTCTTTTCAACTTCATTTGCTAAAATCTTAACTTATTGTATATTAACACCTAGGAAACTTAATTTTCTAAGAATTTATTTGTAATTTATTAAAAATCTACAAAAAGTCTTTGAAGTTTTTCTTGTTTAAGAGTAATTTAATCAAAAACTAATTCAAGATCATATTAAATTTTCGATGTAAAAATTAGCTATATGAGTAATCCAAATTAGCCTGAAGTTTTAACACCAAATCTAAACCCGAGTTGTAAGCCCGAATTTAAAAGTAAAATAATGGGTTGGGCTCGGGTTGAGTAGCTAGGATTGAGAATAGGGTAATGGTTGGGCTTGGGTTTAGCATTTCATATGGTGAGTTGGGCTCAATTTATACCTTAAACTAGCCCAACCCGTCTGAGTTGCAGTCCTACTATAATCCCACATTTTTTAGCCTTGAAACGATGATTTTTCCTTCTTGTCCAGAAAATTTCATGCGTTTGTTCTTTTCTTATCTTAATATAAACCTAATATTTAAAGTGTTAGCCTACCAATTCTCAATAGAAACCTTTGAGAATGTTAGACTTGAAGAAGACAAAGACCTAGTTAATGTTAGGACAATAATGTCTCAAATTCTATTATAATTAGGTGTCTATTTTTAGAATCGTATTGTATCTTAGTAATGTTTAGATAACTTTGCTACTGATTTAGGTTTGGGGTTTGCCAGTAAATTAGGTTAATTTGTGGTCTATAAAATAGATGCGTGGGTTATTGTTAAAAGTATGAGTGGAGGGAAACGTGTAACCATAATGGCAATCTCGGCAATGGTATGTGAGTACAATGGGTAGAGAGAGTTTACGTATTTGTAACATTTCTACAGATTATAATGTAATCTTCTCATCTATGGATGTAGCCTTATTTGAGTGAATCATATAAATCTTGTGTATTGTGATTTTTTGAATTCCTTTTCTTCTTCTGTTTTAATTTATTAGTTTCAGTATGTCCAACAAGTGGTATCAGAGCCGATGGTTCCGGGTTTGCGATGTTGCCGTCGTTATATGAAGAAGATCCAGAAAACACAAGGAATCTCAACAGGTGTTGCAAGGGTTCAGTTACAGGTGGAGTCAATTAGTTACGATCATCTATCTCAGCCCGTAAAATAGATTGTGGTTTTGCTCTTAGCCAAGATTTCCCAAAAGAAGAGTGAGTTTGTTCTCTTAACCCGGAAAAGAGCAAGGCGTAATTGTATGAGATACATGGTAAGGGTGGAGTCGTGCAGGACAAACCCCTTGCTATGAAAAAATGTTGATTGACGTGAATGTTAGAATAATGATATTTCAAATTCTATTATGATTACGTGTCTATTTTTAGAATCATATTACGTTTATTACATCTTTAAGGATTATAATGAAATCTCCTCATCCATGGATGTAGCTCTATTAAGATGAACAATATAAATCTGGTGTATTTTGGTGAACTACGTAAATCTTGTGTGTTGTGATTTGAAATCCATTTTCTTCTTCTGGTTTAATTTAGATTCGGCTACGCCCATATCCAAGTGCACGTAAAAGTTCTTTATAGGACTAATGGTGGATGTAAGAGTTCTTTATACGACTAATGAATGGTGTTTGTGATTCAATTGTGCACTAATGAATGGAGTTTGTGATTCAATCAGTGGATTAATTTCTGATTAATAGTGTCATGTGTTTTTATTTTTATTTTTATTTTAAATGGAGACTATTACAACGTGATGTCACTGTTATGACTTTAAATTGGATGTCAGTATTTTATATTCATGTATTTGGTAGTGTTAGAATTTGTTACTTTAAATATGATGATGTATTTCATTACTATACACTATTAGAATTTAAAAGTAAGTTTTTAATAGATTAAATCAAAAAAAAAAAAAAATACAAAAAAAAATGTATTTAACAAATGTTTTACTAAACGATGTTTTTTTTTTTTTGGTAAGTCTAAAACGTGAAATTCTTCATTTTGGCCTTGTTTCTCTCTCTAATTGAATACAATCCCATTTTCCCAAATTCTTTCAACGGCAACGTAAATGTAAAATATATTGCAGAGAGAATGCTTTACTTGATGGGACGAATTCCCACCATATTTACTGGGTAAGTCTCTTGCAATGCAAAATTTATAACGTGGCAACAATCTAAAGGTGAAGAGTATTCTATAATTGCGTTCCAATAATATCTAAAATATATTTATATAACCCTAGATTACCTTAGAAAATTATATACGAGTATATATAATTCAACACAACTTTTAAGAATTTCAATAAATTTTACATTACTCAATGGAACAATGCAGTGACTTAGCTGGTACATGAGAAATGCAAAGAACAATTCTTGGCATTTACATATATAGTGACAATTAAAAGTACTAGTATATATTTTTAGGTAAAAACTACAATAAGAATGAAATGAACTTAATTTGTTCTTTAAGAATATGGTTAAAATGGTTCAAATTAAATGTTTCTAGTTTCAAAGGACACAAGTTATATTTGTTTTCAAATTCTTTATTTTGGGATGTGAAGTTATTAATGTATTGAATACTTTATACGGGATAATATCTGATATGCCCGGTGCATTGAGTACTAAGTACATCATAGCCATCTGTCAACAAAATAAGTATATAAATGTGTTTTTTTGTCATGAAATAAATAATAAATATATGGAATTAAGTGGCATGCTACCTAACTACCGAGCAGTTTCTAACTTCAAGTCTTCAAACATAATGGTATTGCGTCCAATGAGCGAAGAAGCCTTCCCTTCTTTAGCATTTCAATCCAAAATGTTCTAAGTCTTTACTAAATGCACCGGGTTATGTTCGGTTGCATGGAATTAAAATGATGGAATTGGAGAAAAATAACTCACAAAATTGAACTAAAATTTTATCCAATTTCACAATTTCTTTTGTCTTATCTCGTAACGCAGTTCATTTCGTCAATCGAATGTAACTCGAAGATGAGGAGAATGTTAATCGTCAAGAATTGCAAGGCTTGCGGATAGGGAATCAGATATTTCTAAGATTCAAATAGTAATTCTAAAATTTTAATTTTATACTGCCAAACACAGTCCGAGAATTAATCTTAAAATATTTTAGTGCGTGATTAACTTATAGTAACAATTAAAGTTTTCAAAAGGGGTAGGCTAAAAAAAAATTCACATTTCACGTTCTCTATCGGCATCATTCCATCATTAAGATTAGGTTAGGTTGTGCAGTAAAAAAAGGAATTTAGAACTTGAATTTCAATGGCTTTAGCACCATCGATCCTATTACTTATGGAGCTCTCCTCCCTGAAGCCTAATCCGATTATGGAAATGTAACTCGGAAGTCTCGGAACACTTTTGAGAAGTGTTGCTTGCAAGATTTTGGCATACGACCGTAAGAGTTGCAAAAATAAAATAAATAATCTTCATGTAAAAACTTCAACAAGAGCAACTTTGGTGGTGTTCTTGTAATAATATATATATATATATATATGTATATATATATATATATATATGTGCAAAAAGATGTTGCTATTACTATTCAGGCTCTTATATGAGCACAAGAAACACATTATTTTTAATGGTAGCGGTGGTCCTATCAGGTGTCTGGAATGTGGCAGGTCATTTACGGATGGTATATAATTTCTTCAAAGCTAGGAAGACTAATATATATCGTTGAAAACGTGTTATATTAATTAATTAATAAGTAATCTTCATGTAAATAATTAAAATGATGAATACGCAACACATAAGCGTCATCGTCACAAGATGAAGAAAAAAAGTTAATCAAACAAATAATAATACACATGTTTACAAACCTACCTTCAAATTCTTCTTCTACTTGACTTGTCTACCAATCATTAACATAAAGAACGCAATATGTTAATTATGGCGTCTGTGAAGGACGAGACACATAAACAAATGCATGATTAACACATGCCATTTATTAATTAAGCATTGGCTACCTCTAGTCTAGTGTTTTATCATTAATTAATATGCTTATGGGAATATTTCAATTTTTCATCTTACTCATCCATCTGATTGTGTTCTTATCCGTTTTTTCATACTCCGCGTCTAAATTTTGTGAATGTATAATATTTTCCGTCACAACCAAAAATATCAAGTCATCGTAACTCAAACCCCACAGAATTGAGTAAGCCATGAGTTTGGATATTTCATTATCAAGAATAGTAATGGTACGTTTAAGAGCACTGACTTAACGTTTTAAATTTGGAATTAAAAAATTTTTAGTATAAGATTAGTTAATTTTACATTAATTCTAAATTCAAACCGCGAATTTAATCTTCCAAATATAACACAAACATGGTTACTAAATAATCCATGTACTATCGATATAGTGCAAAAAAGTTCGTGTGTGATTTAAAATACCCTTCTACTTTTAATTTTGTACAAATATTTTGTCTACCAAGGACGAATTCAGGAATTGTCAATTGGGGGGCTAACGAAGAATGGGGATCGAAAGATGAAAGAGTTGAAAATTTTTAGAGGAAATACTAAAATATGGTTAGAGGGAGAGAGTTTAGGTCACATAAAAAACTAGGAATTTAGATATATTGGAGGGAGCTTTCTGATTTGTGCTCTGACTCTATAGTTAGGCATTAGGACTTGTTTGACTTGGGCATGTTTGGTTGGGCCTTTATTTTAAACTGTGGTTTAAATCTTGGGTTTGTTTGGATGGGTTAATATTTGAGTGGCTAATACTACTACTAATTTGTTTTGTTTTGAGATTGGGCTAAATTTTCCTTAACTAAATTTTTTTTTTTTTTTTTTTGGCCCCCCTCAATCCGCCTGTGCTATGTACAAAAAAAGACTATAATACCTTCTTACCAATAAAATGAAATAATATATAAAAAATAAAGTAAAATAAAATTACCATTTTAGACAAGGACATGTAGAAAAAAAAAAAAACACGTGTACAAAAATTTATGTAATATTAAAAAAAAAAGAAGATAAGACCCATTGTTAAACCGGTGAAGCCCAATTGATAAAAAAAATACAGAATAGGAAGAGAAAGGGGCAAATTAAGATTTTTAAATTTACTTTATGTTAATTTTGATCAAAAAGTGGTTAGATGGGCTTATTTGTACCTTTTTAAAAATTTTATGGACTGAAATACATATTTTAATAAAAGATGGATTATTTGTGCACAAAGCCTACATTACAGGGGATTTTCTGTACTTAAGCCTGGAAAAAATGATAGATGAAAATAGATAAGGCTTTGGTTCCATCATCACATTTTGAAATTGAAATAAAAAAAAATATTAATAATAACTAGGGATGATGTGTCCGGATAAGAGTTGATTTTTTTTTTTTTTGTAAGAAAAAAAATTTGTATAGATAAGATTTATTATTATAGAGTAGGTTATCTACTATTAAGACAGTACTACTATAGTAACAATATATATACTTGCTAGGGTTGAAGGTGTAATCCGGTTTGGGCAAAATAACATGACAATTGAAAATTGATTTCCATTGTATCAGTATATTGTATGTTGGATTATAAACAAATAATCAGTATTTTCAATAACAAGTACCCATTTTAAAAGTAGAATACAATTACATAATCTTGATTCTTTCAAATTTAAATCTATTTCTCAATTTGTTTCTTCAGTTTACTTTTAAATTAATCTGTTTATTTTGTTTTTTCCCCTATATAAGTGAAATTGTATTAATTAAGAAAATAAATCTGCAAAATCTATAATTTGTTTTACACACATTTAACTTACAACCCAACATTTACTTTGAAGCGAAGAGATGTCATAATAATTATTTGATGTAATTGTAAAAGTTTGTATTATCATATATATATATATATATATATATATATGAGTTTAAAACTAACCACTCTGTATATATGGCACTAATTTAGACTCCACATTAATTGAATCAACAGCAAGAGGAGGTCCTGAGAAGCTTATAAAATTAATTGTATTTCATGCAGAGTGTGACAGAAAAGGACAAGCTTTGATGTTGTGCTATGAAGTTGACAGTGTCGGATATGCGAGAGAGAGAAAAGGATTTTCATGTAATTATGCATAATATAATGAAAAAATGCTATTTGTTTCTCAAATTTTGGGCCCTCGTAGAAGATATGGAGAATCATAGATGGTATCTACCACGCTATTCTTTTTATTTATTTATTTATTTATTTATTTATTCTGGTAACTGTATCAACCATACTATTTTATTTATTTTATTTTTGTTGGAAGTGTATGTACCTGCCGACAATTGCGTAAACTAAAAAATAAAGGAAAGAAACCTATAAAAGAAAAGCAATTCATACCTCTAAAGTGCCTACGTTGTGGAATTTGTCTAGGTAGAAAGCTAATATGAAAATATGTCGAGTGCGTCAAACTGCTTTTGATTCCATAGTGGTGAATTAGGTATAACGATTTTTTTTTTTTTTTTTAATTTTTAAAATGAGATATTATATGAAACAAAGTAAAGTACATTGCTTTTTCCTAACTCAAATTTGTACAACAAATGTGCATGGTTTATTTTTGAAACTCTTTGAAATTAGGAGAATTGTTTGATTTGATTTTCTCAAAGCAAATTTTGGAATATAAAATTATAAATATTTAAACTATATTTGATTGTATGGAATTAGAGTGCTAAAATTAAAATTAAACTATTTTTTTTTTCAATTTTAATTATAAAACACCAATTTTATGCCAGCAAATACAACCTTAAAACCTTAAAAAAAAAAAAAAAAAAGACAAAAACAAAAATGAAAGACAATTTATAAGATTAATCTTTTTAATTTCTTAATAATAACTTTATTTATAAAACTTTTGAAAAATATTTTCAAAATTTAATCAAGTACCTATTTATTCACGGTGAAATTGGGTACTAGTGTAAAGCCATTTCTCAAGTTGAGCAAGAAATTTCAGACTTTAATGTGACCTTCATTAAAATGTGTTTCACGCTATAAATTAGACCAACCACAAAACGCCAAATCATCCGATTATCAATACGGCGTAAGTCTATATGGTGGTGCGCACCGCGAGGTGACATCATCATAATTGTGGACCTTAATGACCAAAATGCCCCCCTTTCCATTAACTTCTCCGGTTTGTTGATGGGCAATTTCGTCCAACTGTCTCAAAAACGAAACCACGGGCTACCCGCCGCGTATATGAGAGATATTTGAAATTTCAATCTGCCAAACATTTATCCATTTGTGGGGAAACCACACAAAAATGTGTTCGGTAAGCGAGCAAGTTGTTTGAAAAAAAAAAAACACAAGCAAACAAGTTGGTCCCACAAGTTGGTCCCACCTCATCGGATAAACCTGAACATCTACGTCCCCGATTTCGCCACATTTTTCATCTTCGCTGTCATCATTGATTGTGGTCCCCACCCACCCACTAGATCAGGATAGGATAAGCTGGATAACAACAAATATAATATTATATTAGAATATTCGTGTATATCCAAATAATTCAAGGGGTACCAAATAATTGACTTTCACTGACGTGGATCATTGCTGTCAGGTATACCTCATGGACTGTTATGATGTTGATCATCCAATACATACATGTGGACTATCATGTGAGTGACCGCTTGTTCGTCCACGCAAGTCAAGTGGGTCCAAAGTGGGTCCCAAACTATTGGTATATAGAAACTGGTTTTCAAGTTTAGTGGGCATGCAAATATTTTAAGAGATCGAACACCTGAGCTCAATTATTGTGAAGCCCATGGCCGGAGCAACTGCTAGAGTTCCGAGGAGCCACCGGATTCTTCCCTTCGATAATTGTGAAATTGACTTTTCCGGTTGGCCGGCAATGAGTTTGTCCGATACCATCTTCGGGTTTCTTGACGCAGAAGGCGAAGGCTCGCCGGAAAGTGTTGTTAGCATTGAGGAGTTTGATGAAAATGACGGTGGGGATGGAGAGAAAGGAAGCTGTGAAAGTATTAATGAAGGTAACAAAACTTTCTGGGAGACCCAACACCAACTTTTACATGTAAGTTCCGTATTCTCCTTTCCCTGCCACTTACAAATATTATAATCATAATATTATCAACATCTATATATGCATCTTGTATTTGGCAAGATATAAAAAACAAGAATTTAATGAATCGTCACGTTCTTGTTGGCTTGAACTATATAACATAGACTTATTACTTCTTTTGTTATATCCAAATTTGCAGGCCACCGTAAGGAGGTCTAGCTCTTTGGAAGCAAGGATACGAGATGCCACCAAGGAAGCATTAAAAGAAGTTCAAATTACAGGGAATGCATGTGTTTGTCGGAGACCCGTGGCAGGCGGTTGCCGGGACTGCCTGATGAGAGAAGTCTGTGGCCGTCTTCAAAATGCCGGTTACAATGGTGCCATTTGCAAGTCTAAATGGAAGAGCTCTCCAGATATCCCATCAGGTATATATTCTAATATCTAATTTAATTAACCACCACCTTAATCATTTTATTAGAACTATCACTAATATGAGCAATGGATAACTATGAGGGAATATAATAGATTAATCTAGTTTATATCAGGATTAATTTTAATTTTAAATAAATAATATATACACACACACACACAAGTGAAGTAATTATATTTGAGTTATTATCATTTGTCACCAGTGCACCACACAACACATATAAGTATCCATTAGGAACGGATTCTCTCTGAGAAAAATTCTATTCAAATATATTAATCCTACAACCACTAAGAGCATCTCCAATTGTTATGTATATAAATATTTTTTTGTAAATTGGATATGTCATGATGAATTTACACAAAAAATTTGAATTATTTAATTTTAACTCCAACAATTGTTTTATACCTTTTGTGTGAAAATATATCTCCCAATGACAATCAACCATGTGTCATGCCAGGATCCCACATAACTTTTACAGACCTCTACTTAATATATAGTTGATTTTTTTAATGGAACGAGAAAGAGGGATGAGAAAAGAAATATGTTAATCTGGTAGTGTAAAAATGTTATGTAAAATATACAACGTTTTTACACATTAGTGATATAGCAATCTATCTTAATAGACTGCTAGATATAGAAAAAATTTACACATCATAGGTGGCAATGTATATTTTACACAAAAGGGTATTTTAACAAATCGCAGGAGATGCTCTAAGGCGCCACATCAACAACTTCTTTTACTCACTTAATATACTAAAAGTTACTACACTTTCTTAAAATATCTAACTATGTTAAATTACAAGTTTACCCACATAAAAAAAACTTTTTCTCTCTTTCTCTCCTGTATATAACACACACACACATATATAGATACACATGGCTATATATATATATATAAACGGTCAGAGTCTTGGTGATGGTGTCTTTGCTGTCCATGCGCTCGAAGAAGGTGGCCATGAGTCTTGTGATCAGGCTTCCATGTCTACAACAGGACCATTTCCAAGGTTGAAGAAACCCTAGATCGAGCCCACCGCGAAAGTATCATCCTTGTCCATGGCAATGAAAACCCTACATAGAGTGAGAGAGACGAGAGTTGAATCATGTATAATTTGTAGATATCTAGCCATGTGTATAAATATATATATATATATATATATATATATATATATATATTATTGGAGAACTATAATTGAATTTCCTAAATCGCATAAAAATACAAGTTGAAGGATCATAATCAATTTTTATTGGAATTGACAAAAATAAAAAATAAACTTGTAATTTAATATAGTTAGATATTTTAAAAAAGTGTAGTAACTTTTAATATATTTAGCGAGTCAAAGAAATTGTTGATGTGGCGTTAGTAGTCATATGATTAATACCCGTAGATACTTGGAGAGAATTTTTCTTGGAGAAGATCCGTATCCATTCTTTTCACACTCTCTTAGTATTTATAGTTCCGTGTACACAAATATAGGAGTATTCACGTATATAAATGTCAACATCCTCTAGCTCCCGATAAATACAATGTTTAATTTGTTTGTTTACTTGTGGCAGGTGAACACAGCTTTTTAGATGTGGTGGACAAGTCGAATCCTAAGAAAGGAGAAGTGAGGGTGATAATTGAATTGAACTTTCGCGCGGAGTTTGAGATGGCGAGAGCAAGTGAAGAGTACAAGAAGCTGATCAGTAATCTTCCTGAAGTGTTTGTTGGGAAAGTGGAAAGATTACATTCATTATTAAAGATATTGTGCTCAGCTGCTAAGAAGTGCATGAAAGAGAAGAAAATACATATGGGTCCATGGAGGAAGCATAGGTACATGCAAGCAAAATGGCTGAGCACATGCAAGAGGACCACCTCCATCGCGCCGCCCTTGCCAACCGGATACCCTAACCGGCCACCAAGACCGAGGGCGTCGATGCTAACGCTAGATTTGCTAGAGAACTTGCCCAATTTACATCGGACAGTGGTTGAGGTTGTGTGATACTGTTGCATACAATTTTGTTTGTTCTCCTTTAAGGATCACTTTTTCTTTTTTTTTGGTTTTTTCTCCTTCCTTTCCTTTAGATGTGCAGTTGTGAGTTGTGTGAGTCTACATGACTACGTAAAAAAGAATAATATAGAGTACGGGATTTTGGTGCTGCTAGTCACTTTTTAAATTAAACATAATATATATATATATATATATATATATAAAATATTTCTGTATGTGCGCTTTTGAAGCCTAGGTACAATCCATGGATTCGGCTTATATATATATATTATATATAATATTTCTGTATGTGCGCTTTTGAAGCCTAGGTACAATCCATCGATTCGGCTTTTGTAACCAGGGAAACCCCACTTGCTCTAGCACTATGCGCTAATTAAACTCGAATTTGAGATCACCTCAAAGCCGTAACTTGAGACCCTATCATTTTAAAAAATTAACTAATTAAACTCGAACTTTAAACCTCAAAGCATACTATGTTATTTAAACAATACTAATAAGTACGTATTACTCTTCCTTCAAACAAAATTTCAATCTCGGAATCAAATTGTTGAATATGTCTTGATTTATATAGTCTGTTTTTTTTTTTTTTAATATATAAATGTTTCTATATAATTGTGGAGTAAAATCTCTTCCACCAATTATGTGATCCGTCAATTTTTTTCCAATTATAAATATTTCTAGATAACAATGAAGCAAAATCCTACATCAATTATGATGCCTATTGTACACCTTTCATATATTATTATGCTTACCATGACTGACTATTGTACACCTTTCATATATCCTTATATTTACCATGCATGATGTAGTTTGCCTATCAGTTGGACCACCCAAACTTGATTTCGTTAATTATTTCTCATAACTGCAGAGTTACTTGAAATCCATAATATTGGTGCATATTAATACATGTGCAGGAATAGAATGGAATGTCCATTCTAATTATTCATTTGTTTGGTATGCGGGAATGAAATGGAATGACTATTCCATTGGAATGAAAATATATTCCATTACTAAACCTATGGAATGGTCATTCCATTCCATAGTAAGATTAAATTTTTTTGTAATATTTCCAATAAACCCTTCATTATATTTCAATAAGGCAACCCTCTCTTCTAAATATACCCAATACTGCCATTGACAAAAAGTTACAGGACTTCAACCAAAATTACAGGACTTTCAACCAAATTGCAAGTATTAATCTATTTATCTTATGAGTATATCACTCTTTTCTTCTCTTCTTCTTCTTCTTCTTTTTTATTTTTTTTGTATCTTTATGTTGAAACGTTTGTATGATTTCTCCATCATTCTCTCTTTGAAAGTTTATATATGGAGCAATGATAATATAAAATAAAAATTAACAATAGTCTGGAGTCAAAAATAATATTTTATTTAATTCAAGGGTTTTCTTTATTTTTTCTATGACAGTATCGGGCATCTTATAACATTCCAAAATATTAATTAGATTGATTTTATTAAAAAATAATGTAAGCCAGTGAAAAGGGTATTTTTGACAAAAATATAGACTTAATGATAGTTAACCAAACAATAAAATGGTAATAACCATTCCATTCCATAACGAAACACGGAAAGAAAATACTCATTCCATCCCATTCTCATTCTATTCCAAGTTGCGTTTCATTCCATTCCTACACACCAAACGTAACCCTAGAATATCGTAGAAAGATATAATAAAAATTAATTAGTAACGTACTCACTTTTAATCCTTACCTTAGAATCTAATCCTACGGTAATTAATTAATAAGTGTTTCTTTTTTATATTTAAGGCAATTACTTTTTTTTTTTTTAATTACCATTATATATTATTAATAGGAAATGACAAAACTAGACATGTTTTTAATAGAAACAAATTAAAACCAAATTGATTAGGATTTCCTTTCCATCCGAATTCTTAAAGCATACCAATTAAAAATAAAAAAATTTAATTATTTCCAATTCCTTGGACGATAGAAGGTTAAAAGGCAACCGCATCTAAAATAAAAATAAAAATAATTAAATTTTCAATCCCATTAACTTTGAATTGCCACGGTGCATTTCACCTCCATCACTACAACCTCCACCGCCACCGCCACCACCTACCCCGCCACTGCCGCTGGTGGTGGAGGTGGCGGCAGTGGCGGGGTAGGTGGTGGCGCGGTAGAGGTGGTGGCAATGCCAGGGTAGGTGGTGGAGGTAGTCCATTCCTTTTCTCTTTCATATGTTATATATTGGGTTACATGATTTGATAATTTTGCTTGTCTTTGAATTCATTTTTATGCACACATATACAAATAAACATATTTTGAGAGTACAACATTCCTTTGTAATTGGATTATGCAGTAAGTATTTGTTTTACAGACATAAATTAATTGCAAAGTTGAGAAGGGGACTATTGTGCTTTAATTTTTCAACTGGGATGCTTTGAGAATTCCCTGGCTGAACAGATATGAACAAAGGGAATTTGAAATAATTAATTTTTTATTTTTAATTGGTATGCTTTGAGAATTCGGATGGGAAGGAATTCGTATACAAGAAAATCATAACCAATTTGGTTTTAATTTGTTTCCATTACAAACATGTCTAGTTTTGTCATTTCCTATTAATAATATATAATGGTAATAAAAAAAAGATGCAATTGCCTTAAATATAAAAAAGAAACACACATTAATTAATTACCGTAAGATTAGATTCTAAGGTCAGGATTAAAAGTGAGTACTCTATGCTCTCCAAGGAGCAATTGAACGTCACTGTTGAGCAATTGAACGTCACTGTGCTTTATATATATATATATATATATATTTGGTTGGCAAAATATGCAAGATCATTTATGAAGAAAATCATGATGCTCAATGGCTATTTTTTTTTTTTTTTTTTTGGTAAATTACACTCAGATCCTCTGAGGTTGAGTCATTTTTTTTTATTTATATGAAGATTTTGGTTTTAACTTTTACTTACACCCCAATTTGCTTTTTGGACTCTGACACATGTGAATTGACTCTTTTACCCTTAATTTTTTAATACAATTTAATACAAAAAAATTTATAATTCTAAAAGACAAAACTACCCCTCTCTGCATCTAATACACACAACACCCAACACCCCTCTCTGCAACAAACACACTCCACGTTTATTGAAGTCTAACCTTCTGCCACGATCGAATCAGCGATAGTCCATTTGATTAATCTACCAACCTTCTTTTAGCATCTCTCACCTCGAGTTTACTCTGTTGCATCTATCAATTATCTCTCGTGAGTCGTGATCTTCTTTTGGATTTTGTCATATGATCATGCCAAACTGTTTTTGACGAGGTTTTTGTGATCGTGAGCCTTAATAGTGATTATGTGCTCATAGCAATTGTGGCAATTTGGAAGTTATCTGAAAATATATTTAATTTTTTGTTTACCTGATTTTGAGGAAAGTTGTCACTAAACTCAATTTTCTAACCGTATTTTCTGGTAATTGAGCCCATCTTAAACCAGTGCTTGAGTTGATATTCAAGTTGTTACTTCATCCTTGAATGTCTCCTTTTACCATTCCATTATTATATTTTTTTTTCTTTTTCTTTTTATTTGGTGGATAGCTTTTCATTGAAGTCCCCTTTTTAGCTCATTGAATGTCTCCTTTTACCATTTTTTTATTCTATTTTTTTTTTTTTGCTGGATAGCTTTTCCTTGAAGTCCCCTCTTAGCTGTGTATATCAGTATATTTGATTTAGATCATTAGAATGTTTTAACAATATGCATGAATCATGATGCATACTTTTTTTATTACGGTGTGATTCAGTAGTCATTCTAAGATTTGTATTTTCCTTTAAACTATTGTGTTAGTTTTTTGTATTATATGATTGCAATTAGTCTTCTTTTATTTTTCTTCTTCTTCTTCTCCTTTTTTTTTTTTTAATTTATCCTTTGATTTAATTGATTCTTTTTCAATTTCTATCTGCTGAAAGTCATCAATTATTGCGTTTATTTGTTTGAAATATATATATATATATATATATATATATATATATATATATATATATATATATAGCAAAGGCAAGGGTGCTGCTTGTAAGGTCACTTGAGGGTATTTTTGTCATGAAAAAATGAAATACACTTTTTTTAAGTTAATAGATGGTCAAAAGAGTAGAATAGTCATTTTATACCTAATCAATACAAATTGACATTTGGGGTATAAGTGAAATATGAAATCACTCTTTCAAATATGAATGAAAATTAAAACCAAAATCTTCATCTAGGTGAAAAATGACCTAACCTCAGAAGGCTTGAGTGTAATTTATCCCTTTGTTTTTTTTTTTAATATATTTAGTCGCCATGGGCCTGCTTCGGCTTTTGGGCCTGTTATGCTCTTGGACCTGTTTGTGCCTTTTTAAATATCCATCCTTCTTATGTTCGCAATCTGCTTCTATAGACATACCACCTATTTATGGTTTTTTCTGTTTTTAGTAATATTGCTTCATCACTGATTGCAATTAAAAATAGATAACACGCAAATTTGATTAATTTTATGATCACGTCAGCCTCTAATCATAATATAAATGAATTGTTCTACTTTCATACTTCAAATTATTATGCTAAAAATAATATATATAACATATTGGCATTACATATTTATACAACAGTCCATAAAACTTACAGCTACAATTCAAATTTTGCAAGAGAGCAGGGGCGAAATTTATCGTTTATTTTTTTTAACCGAAATTCAATTGGCATGGTGAAATTTAAAGGCAGCAACTTATCAGATCCTTATAGTTGTTCCAAAATTCAATTAGAGCCTTATAGGGTTAATTACAATGACAACCCCCTGAGGTTTGACATATTGACAACCATATACAACTTAGCCCTTTTTTAGACAAAGAGACCCCCTATGAGAATTTTGATCCAAACAAGCCCTTAAAACGATGAAAAAGATGAGATTACCCTTCAATATTTAATTCTTTTCTATGGTAAAATATTAGAACTCATGAAAAGTCAAATTTGTCTTTATATATATATACACTATTACATCCTCACCATCATATATAAATAAATAAATATATATAACCTAGTCCAACAGAAAATCATCAGCGGGGAAGAACAGCGGCGGGCACCATCGCCACCCACCTACGGTCCGGCACCGTCGCCTCTAATCTACGGTCCGGCACCACCGTAACTTCCACCCTTTTTCCACCGCAACGTCCACCACCTCTCTCCACTTCCACAATCTCATCGCCTCCTTCCTCCACCTCTACCACCGCCCCCACCCACATCAGCCCATAATCTTAATTCGCCGTCGCCACTTCTCCCCAACCACATCCATCGTCACCGCCTCTCCCCAACCACATCTGCCAAAGGCAAAGAATAACCATGGATCCAGAATGTAAAGAAAACGTTCACTATATGAAATTCCTAATTTCTCTCGAGGTGGAAGATTGGTTTGGGGCAAATGAAGTTCGCATTCGGCAGTGAAAGGTTAGGATTCTTAACATGTAGATCGGAAGCTCAGATCAGCGAGGGGATCTGGATTTGCCATAGCTCGGTGTCAAGCAAAAGAAGCAAAACATAGTCCAATCCATTTGCAAATCTGAAAATCTCACCAAACCCCGCAGTTTCTTTCCTTGAGAAACCTCCATTTTTCTTCTCTCTCAAATCACTCTACTTGTTCTTCTGTACTGTTAATAATCGGCAATGGAAATAAACGCTGCTAGACCACCATCGTCGGAGCAATCCTCCCTTGCCTTCAAAGTCAACTTCATAGTCAAGGCGTTGCCGAAGGAGTCAGTTATCGACAAGCCCAAGAAGATGGGTTTGCAAAGTTGGAGAAATTCATACATATATATATATATATATATATATAACTTCAATTATTCTTCATGTTGTTTGGTTGTCTGAGAATCAAATTATATGATATAATAGAGATAGGAAGTGATGATTATTTCCCCAGTTGATCGAAGCTGAAATTACTGAGCCCTTTTTGTAGTTCTCTTATTGAGAATCCAAACCAGGATGCTGATCCATCTCTCTATATATTATAAATTACTTTCCCAAAAAAAAAAAATAAGTTAGAGAGAGAGAAAAATGGAATAATACAATCTTGATATTGATTGAAGGGCAAAAACGTCACTTCATAAAAATAGAGAATACAATCTTGATATTGATCGAAGGGCAAATTGGTAATTGAATATGTCAAAGGACAATAATGTCAATTCACTATGTGTAAGGACAATTCGGGTGTCTTTGCTAACTTTAACAAACCTTAGGGGGTGTCATCGTTCAAAAATGACTCAACTTGTATATAACTGTCATTATAGTAAACCTCAGGGGGTGTCATTGTAATTAACCCGCTTTACAATAAACTCTATCTTTTTTTATTATTATCAAGACAAAAATAAATAATTTATTCAACAAAAATAACATGCATAAAAAAAAAAAGAAGAAAAAAGAAGAAGAAGGTTACAGGGCTTAAAAGGGGTTCTTGATAAGCTAAAACAAGTCAAAAATGATAACAATCAAATTACTATATTATCCTTTTAAATAAAAGGGAAATGAGTGGAATAATAATAATTATTTTTTAATTGTTGAGGGTAAGTTTGAAATTTTGAAAATATTACTTAAACACTATAATTTCTCTCTCTATTTTATCATTTTTGGAGAGATTGAAAATGAGGGATAAGAAAGGATAGTTATCCATCCTTATCTCTCCCTATCATTTATTTTCTCATATTTTAAACCATTCAAACATACTTGAACCCTTTTCTTAATCCTATTCCTCCAAATCATTCCATCTAAACGAACTCAGGAGAAAGATAGGGGGTTAAAAAGCATGAAAATATGATTGGAAAGGGGAGTGGGAGACCGAAAAAATCTTTTCTCACAAAGCTAGGTAAGCGGTGGTAACTGAAAAAAAATAATTATTCATCGGACAATGCGTATTGTCCTCTGGTCTCCCGTTAATGCTGATCAATAAAAAATGAATATGCTTTTTTAATTATTAAATTAAAAATGATAAAATAAATACTTTTTTTTTTTTTAAACTAGAAGCAACAAGAGAAACAAGCAACCAACAAAACAAAACAACAGGCCTCAACCAGGAGGAGAAAGAAAGTCCTTCTCAACCACCTGCAAGAGTCAAAGAGGCCACACCTCCCAACAGAAATCAAAAGACATAGAATTAAGGGCATGTTTACCCAAAGCATGGGCAACGCCATTACAAGACCTAGAAGTCCATGCAAGAGAAAACCCAGAATATGCACTAAGCAGATGAGAAACATCCTCAAGAACCACTGCAACAAGGGGAGGCTGAGGGGACCGTCTCATGACGTTCTGACAGTCTCCTTCCACCACCACATTAACATAACCCCAACACCGGAACAGCCTAATACCTTCACGGAAAACAAGTGCTACAGCAAGCTCTGAGTTAGAAACATGGCATAAGAAGCAACTTTGATGGGCCAACCCCTGCAATCTCTAAGAATAAGACCGCCTCCACAGATCTGCGATCGAGAGTCAAAAGAAGCATCCACATTAAGTTTAAACTCTCCTTCTAGTGGAGGCGTCCACCGAGAGGGAGGAGAGGAAACTGGAGCCGCCCTTGGATAAAACAGAGATTTAAATCTAGAAACCGCACTGAACTCTGAAAAATCGGCAGTAACTTGAAGAATAACCTCAATCACATCTCTTTGGATGTCTTGAAAGACATAATCATTTCTAGCCTTCCACAAGTTCCAGTAAATAAAAGCACCCAAATTGCATAAGTCATCTTTCAGGGGGCTACTAGACCATAAACCAACAAGAAAGGACCATAATTGACTCTAAAAATGAAGGAACTCATCTGAAATAATCACTTTCAGAGGGGAAGTTTTCCAAACCACCTTTGTAAAGGGGCAAAAGAAAAGCACATGCCCAACCGTTTCCATCTCGAAGCCACACCTTTTACATTAGGGATCTACCCGACACCCTCTAAAAACCAAATTAACACCAACAGGAAGCCTCTCATGGCAACATTGCCAAATAAATAAAATAACTTTTCTTGGAACTTTCAAGCGCCAAATAGAAGTCCAAAGACCATTCCTCTCTTGAATGACACTAGAAGCAGGGCGGTGGCAATCGGTAGACTGCAATTCTTTTCGAGCCAATTTATAGGCTGATTTAACTGTGAAAATCCCATTCGGAGAAGGTCTCCATGAGAGACGATCCCTTCCACCAGAAAACTTTAAGGGAATTTGAAAGATTAGCCTTGAATCTCTAAAATTAAAAAGCTGATTGATCAAGGGTTTATTCCATGACTTAGAATCTGGATCAATAAGCGCTTCAACTTTTTGGACCAGGGAACAGCGCGATGATGACACAGGAGTTGGGCGACTTCCATCTGGGAGCCAATTGTCATTCCAAATATTAACGGAAGAACCATCACCGACAACCCAAAGGACCCCTTTTTTAAGAAGATTTTTTGAAGCTGAAATACTTTTCCATCCCCAAGACGCATTTGCTGGACAGTGAGACTCAAGAAAGGAAGAATCCGAAAAATATTTAGACTTAAAAATCGAATAAAATAACGATTGCTCATTGGAGGAGTCCCCTTGAATAATCTTCCACCCAAATTTAGCAAGAAAAGCCAAATTGAAATCCAAAATGTCTCGAAAACCGAGACCACCCTTACAATTGGGCTCACATAGGCGCTCCCAATTAACCCAATGAATGGAAGAGAGACGTTATTGAAGTCGGTCCTGGTGGCCATCCCGACATATTCCCTCCAATGTTTTAAAATGACTGATTCCTTTGCTTAAGAAATTGTTAGCAAACTTCGTCTTTTTTGGTGGAAAGACCGATAAAATAAATACTCACTTATACACAATAACATGTACCATTTTTATTTTGATAATAAAAAAAGACATAGCTCATTTTTTATTCATCCACATCAGCCGGTGTGAATGTATATCCTCAGTAGTGATATCTAATATTCAATTATAAAAACCGGGTTAGAACTTGGGTCCCAAGATACGGAATGTGTCCTGATGGGTGACATGGTCCAATGAGATGCGGACACTTGTCCCAAAAATTAATAATTATTAAATATGAAAAAAATGGGTTAATGGGAAAAGATGAAAACAGAGCTCAGATAAAGAGAGAGCATATATCTTTATGTATCTCTTGGAGATTTTGATTCTACGCTTTCATCTATAGGCCTCTCGAATCCTGTTTCATAGACTCGTACTGATGATTTTGGCACGCTCTCGCAAGTGCCTTTCCAATCGGAGGGAACTGTAGACAGGCTGTCGTCGGAGAATCTTGGCCGTTCCGGTTGTTTCCGGTTTCCAGGACTAATGTGGATCTGATAGACGCGGTTTGGGAGGACGGATACTCGGAGAGGAAGCAAGGGAAGCGGCGGAAAAGTGGTGTTTGTTTATATTTTTAATATGATATTACTTTAGAACACGTGTCTACATATCATTGGGTCATAGGGCGGGACCCAATTATTATCCTAAAGGGGTATTTGGAACAAGAATATAGGCTCAATGTCGGAATTTGGATTGGGCTAATCACTCGGACTTAAACCCTAGTGTCCACAGACTTGTTGACACTCCACAACGGGGTTTTTGGTATAAAGTTCATAAAATGCAATAAATAATTCCTTCCAACTGCGGATTCTGGAGCAATTACTTGGACCCTGGGATTCCATATCCAAGGTAATGGTTATGTGGTTTCCTTGTCCAAAATCTGTTGTTTGATCTTTGATTTTCAATCAAGAGGATTTCAAATCATATGGAGAATGTAGTATAATTTTGTATTTTTAAAATCCACACAACGTCCAAAGGTCAGAGCTGACCGCTCTCTCCCTCTCCATCTGTTCCTCAAAGTAGTATCCGTACCAATTGGAAAACTAGGGTTTTTAATACTTGGTTTTTGGTTTTCCTTGTTTCAATGCAATGTTTTGTTTTTAAATATTTGGCAATATAGTGAAATTGTTTCATTGGCACTACAAAATAAATGTCTCTTTAATGATTCACAGTTGAGGGACTTTCTTCAACTTTCTTTTTTGAACAGAGGGAGTATTAAATACTTCGCTATATTACCCCGGGCAGTCCTGGCCCTTGTATGTGATGGGGCTCTTCACCGCCAGTGGCGTAGCTAGAAATTTCCTTCAATGGGGGCAATTTTTAACAGCAATAATATATATATATATATATATATATATATATATATATAATAATAATAATAATAATAATAATAATATATGTAAAAATTAAACAGTACTAAATATTTCAGAATATTTTTCATATTCTAAAAGCGCGCAGTCGAGTTTTTAAAATGTTCATGGCATAATAATAGTACATTTAGATGATACAAAAATATATATCAGATTACCTCTCTTCTCATTGTAGTATTTGTTTGGATTTTGTGAATTTTGAAATATTGAAGACTCGTCGAAAGAGAAATGTTGAAGATTGAAAATGTGATGGAAATTAACAACGCATTTGTTTGTGGTAAAATCAAAAGTGTGAAAGAATATCTTGTATTTTTGGGAAAAGTGAGAAAAAATATAATATTTTGAGAAAATGGAAAAAAATATCATATATTTTGAAAAGATTATATTCCTTTTATTTATTTTTTTATTTTATAATACCGTGAATAGTCATTTGGTTATATATATATATATATGTGTGTGTGTGTGTGTGTGTGTGTGTGCAATGTCAATTTTTAGTGGGGATAATTATATAAATATAAAAATCTTTCCATATAAAATTAAAAAAAAAAATTAAAAAAATTAAAAATTCAGTGAGGGCAGCTGCCCCCACTTGTCCCCATGTCACCGCCCTTGTATGTAATGGGGCTCTTCGCCACATCCAACTATTTTTATTGGCCGGGTTTCATACCCCATTGTGACATGACTCACACAAATATTATAGTTTCAGAAAATTAAGGTTGTATTCATTTAACTCTTTTTAGTTAGTTCTTTTTTAATTCTTTCATAACTAAATTACATTACTTTAGACTAGTTTTTTTTCTGCAATTATCTT